ACCCTCGCTGGGGTACAGTGTCCCCCTCATCTCCTGAAGGGACTGACTCTCATTCACCCTGTTGTTGTGGATCTCAACTGCACTCTCTAATACCTTTGTGTGCTTCCTGAAGTTTGATGTCCAGACCTGGACACAAATACTCTAATTGAGGCTGAATGAGTGAGTTTTTTTTTACACTGACTTAACATTACTGTATGGCTCATGCACTCGATCTCCACATTAGTAAAGCTGTGGTTATTGTCTGCTTTGTGAACCATTCTTCAATCTGTCCTGTCACCTTCTTCAGTTACCTCTACCCTGAAACTCCTCTCTTCCTTCAGAATTAAGCCCTTATGGTTTGCATTGTCTTTCCATGATCTTCCCACCAAAATGAACTACTTCATATTTCTCTATGTTTCATCTGCTACTTGTTTGGCCACTCCACCCCAGTCTGTGTCCTTTTTAATGGCTATCACTAACATCCTTCTGGTTGACTATCATTCCCAGTTTTATGTTATCTGTAAATTAATATAACTTAGCAAGAGCAGGAGTCCTGACACACACCGTTATACAGTGTGGAAACAGATCCTTTGGTCCAACTCGTCCCTGCCAATCTGACCTAGTCTTATTTGCCAGCATTTGGCCCATATCACTCTAAAGCCTTCCTATTCGTACACATCCAGATGCCTTTTAAATGTTGTAATTGTACCAGCTTCCACCACTTCCTCTGGCAGCTCATTCTATACACGCACCACCCTCTGTGTGAAAAAGTTGCCCTTCAGGTCCTTTTTGAATCTTTTCCCCTTTCACCTTAAACCTATGCCCTCTAGTTTTGCACATGATCAAAGATTTAACTGAATATTTGTTGCTCTGATTGTAATATGTATTTCTCTGCTGGATGAATGTAGGATGAACGGCAGTGAGGAGTCTGCTTGGGGTGAGGAGGAGGAGGAGATGTCTGAGCATAATTATTATAACAGTATCCCAGGAAAGCAGCCACCTCTGGGGGGGGTTGTGGACACCAGGAGCAGACAGTGGAACATTCGGGCACAGCCCCCTTGCCCGGCTGGTACTATGCAGGTCAGTGTCTTCATCTGATCATCTAATTCACAGAGCATAAGATGTAGGAGCAGTAGTTGACCATTCAGCCCATCAAGTTTGCTTTGCCATTGAATGAGATCTTGGCTGATTTTGATAATCCTGAACTCCACTTGCCTGCCTTTTTCCTCATAACCCTTGATTCCCTTCTCAATTTTAAAAAAAAAAGCTTCTATCTCCGTTTTGCATGTAACAGGTTTTGATCCCAAATTTACATCATTCTCATTTTGTGTCATCTTGTTTTCCTCTCTGATGAGTCAGTATATTGCTTGTGACAGTTAGAGAGTTGGCCTGGGGAGATATTACAATCTCTCATCCAATCCCCAGAGGTCATCCTGTCATAACAGGCTGGTTTAACTTGGAGCAATTCAACCAAGGGTTGACACAAGTAAATTTTAAATGCAAATGACATTCAAAACAACTTCAGTTTCTGGAATCTTCTACATAAGGACTCGGAGCAGGAGCAGGCAATTTAGTCCCTCAAGCCTGCTCTGCTATTTAATACAATCATGGCTGATCTCATCTCAACTTTAACTCCACTTTCCTGCCCGCACCCCCCATAACACTTCAATCTGTTACTGATTAAAATCCTGTCGATCTTCTCCTTACATTTACTCAATGTCACAATGTCCACCATGTTCTGGGTTAGTGAATTCCAGAGGTGCACAAACCTTTGAGGAAATTAATTCCTCCTCCATCTCTGTTTTAAATCTTCTATCCTTATCCTAAAACTATAACCTTTTGTTCTAGATTGCCGCATAAGGGAAACATCTGCTCTATGTCTACTTTCTCAATCATCTTTAGCATCGTTTATACCTCAATTAAACCTCCTCTCATTCTTCTAAATTCTAGTGAGTATAAGCCTAAACCACTCAATCTCTCTTCATAAAACAATCGTTTCATCTCTGGAATTAATCACATGAACCATCTCTCATTTGCCTCCAATGCAATTAAATTCTTCCTCAAGTCATGGACCCAAACTGTATGTGTTACTCAAGATGAAATCTCACCAATGCCTTGTATAGTTGTAAAACACTTTTTATTTTTATTCTCTATTCCTTTAGCAATAAATGCCAAATTTCTGTTTATCTTCCCTATTACCTGCTGTACTTGTATACTAGTTTTCAGTGATTCATGCATGAGGACACCCCAATCCTCAGCACCGAAGCACTCTGAAGTTTCTCTCCATTTAGATAATATGTTCCCTTTTTATTCCTCTGACCAAAATGGCCAACCTCACACTTATCCAATGTTGAACTTCATCTGACAAATTTTAGCCCATTCACCTAATCAATCCAAGTCCACTTGTAAATTTGTTGTAGCAGATAAGGACGGCAGATTATTTTTCCTAAAGGACATTAGTGAACCAGATGGTTTTTTATTAATTCATGGGATGAGGGCATCACTAGCTAGGCAGCATTTATTGCCCATCCCTAACTGTCCAACCATATTGATCTGGGCCTGGAGGCAGTTTCCTTCCTTAAAGAACATTAGTGAACCAGATGGGGTTTTTTTTTCCTGACAATCAACAATGGTTTCAAGGTCATCATTAGACTCTTAATCCGGATTTTTATTGAATTCAAATTCCACCATCTGCCATGGCAGGATTCGAACCCAGGTCCCCGCAACATTACCTGGGTGTCCGGATTAGCACTCCAGTGATACCATTAGACTGTTGCCTTCCCTAATTGATAGATTCATGGCTACCATCACTGAGACTAGATTTACATTCCAGATGTTACTGTTTGAATTTAAATCGTACCAGTTGTCATGGTGGGATTTGAACCCTGGTCTCCAGAACATTAGCCTCTGGAGTATTACTCCAGAGTTGAGTAACATTTTGTTGAGTCATTGTGCACTGTGGAGTTTGGTGGGGTTGG